GCCTCTCCTCCTTGGTCGTCTCCTCGGCTGGCGAACGCCCTCGTGTGTCGCGGGCTCGTCAGTCACTCGCTGCGCTGGTTGCAGTGCAGTGCACTCACTGCCGACTTATCTCTGTTTTGGCGGCGGCAGGGTGCAGGCTGTTGCGAAACGAGGCTGACAGACGTGTGGGTATTGTTTGCACGGCTGTGGGCTGGACGGCGAGGGGCAGAGAGCGTTTCTGTGCGGCTGTGGCGAAAGCGGGGGAAAACCGAAAGCGCACAGCTTCTCTTTTTCTTTTTTTGCCGTCTCCGTCTCAAATTCTCGTCGAAATGGAAATTTACTTCCCTGTAAATGTTGCTGTCGTCTAAGCGGTGTGCGCCTGCAGGTGCAAGCCGCTTCTTTCTGACGTGTGTGTTGTCGACAGGCGCCACGCGACATCTAACTGACAAAGGGAGAGAGACACTCCCGGCTTTGCTGTGCGGCTGAGAGGGAGAAGGCTATCGTGGCGGTGGGAGGGAGAAGCAGTCTTGACGTCAACTGACGATGCTGATCTGCTGACCAAACAATGACCGACATGCACATGATCTTCTTCGTTGATGGACCAAGTCATGCAGCAACATCCACACCGCCGTGCGATGATTCATTCGATCTGTCGGTCCCCCCGGTGTCGATGCATCCGACCCTCGCAGTGCACGCACACGTCAATTAAGCCACGGACCATCCTGCCTCTGCGCTCTGCCACATACAAAGTAAGGCCACGTCAGGAAGGCTTCGGCACATCTTCTCACGACAGATGGAGAGGTGATGGATTAGGAGCCAACACACACACACGCCAAACGACAGACAACCATCAAGAGCACGCTATCCTCCACACACAGAAAAACATCCCCTCTCTCTCAGCCACTCCGCCCCCTGTCAGATCATCTTTGTCTCTTTGTCTGTCTGTCTACATCAGAGCACAGGCCTGGTCGCTGGCCACCCGCCGCAATCGCCGCCGGCTGTCCTCACCCCCAACCATCCCGCTGGCACCACCACGATACGACACACCACCAGCACCACCCAATCCAGCACCAGCACCACCGGCACCACCGGCACTCGCCGATGGAGTGTCGCCACTATCAGGAGGCGGGCTGCCCATGTACAGCTCCCGAATAGCCGGCGGACGCGGCTCATAGCAATACGGGTGGGCCGAGGGCACAGGGGAAGGCACACGTGTGACCACACGGGGCCCCAGCAGCGGTTCGTTGGTGACCTGCAACGGCGCATTGCGCGAGTCGGGTGAGATTGGGTGGGAGATGATGGGGTAGGCAAAGGTCTGCCGGGCGGTCGTGTCGGCCGGGGGAAAGGGGTGGTCGGCGGGAAACACCTGTACAGCCGATGGACGGGGCGACGCGCACGATGTGGCACCAGCAGCGGCAGCAGCGGTGCCGGCACCACCAGCAGTCTTGGGTGGGCCAGACGCCATTGTCACTCCGGGGATGCCCTTGGCCTGCACCGGCGAGTCGTCGTCGTCTTCTGCGTCCGACCATGAGTCAACGCCGCCGCCACCACCAGCTGCAGCTGCTGCTGCAGCACTTGACGACGGACATGTGTTGGTCTGCTGCTGGTGCTGCTGCTGCTGTGTTGGGAAGGGCGGCAGGTAGAGCCAGTCAGCCTTAACGGCAGGCATCATGCGGTACACGCGCTCGCTGTGTCCCGTCTCGTTGGGCAGCGCCACGGCGAAGCCATACGAGTCGGGATCCGGGCAGGTGTAGGGGCCGGGGGGGAGCACCCCGAGAGAAGGGGGGTTGGTGGTGTGGCTCACATGGACAGTCCGCCAGCCACGCACAGACTCCCACGGCGGAGGCTTCTGGTGCTGCTGTGCGGAGGGCAGAGAGGCAGCAGCTGAGGCAGCAGCTGAGGAAGCGGCGCCTGCAGCCAGCAACATGCATAAGTCGTGCTTGTGTGCGGTGCGCCTGTGGTGTGTGTCAATCATGTGTAGGTGAGTGAGGTGTATCCGTACCCTCTCGATTTGCCGATGAGGGTGCCCAGCCTGAGTGCGCCTTTGCCTCCCGCTCCATCACTCCGGTTGGCCAACACAGATCAGATCTCCTCAGGAGTCAGTCGTTAGACCCGCACCACTCGCCACACGGCATTCAGCGTGCTTCCTCCTCGTCAGGCTCAGGGTCAGGCTCTTCTCCATTTCCTCACCGCGAGCTTGGATCAGGACTCATCTGCCCAGTCAGGGCAAGATCTTGTCCTTTAAGTAAGCGACGTTCCGATGATGCATGGCATGGCCAGCAGGGTGCATTCATCTCATCTGTTTCGTCACATGGATTCGCCTTAGGCTACAGCTGCGGTCACGGGCTGCACGAAGCGCGATGGCGGGCGCTGAGCAGATGGAGGCAGCTGCAGCAGCCATGGAGAGCGAGTCCGACGACCCAGACATGTCAGAGATGTCGGAGGATGAGCCGCAGGTCTGCATGGATCACAGCAGCACGGCAGATGGATGCACAACCGCCGCCTTCAAGCCATTCTGTGGCTGGCCATCTGTGTGTCGGTGCAGGCCAAGAGCCATCGGGTGGCTGCCAAGGGCGAGGTTGACCTCGAGGCCTTCTTCAGATTCGCCACCGTACGCAACCTCCTCAACACTCATCTCATGCTGGCCTGTGACAAATGAACGCATTGCCTTTTGCAGCCTGTGATCCTCGCCCTTGTGCTGGCCTTCGTCCCTCTGCGGCTGCTGATACGCTTGCCCCGGCGCATTTGGCAGCACATCGCCCCGCAGTACACCCACCTGCTCATCGACGGCCACGGCCGAGACGACGAGCGGTTCTGGGGACGAATGCCCTCGCATGTCGCTCGGCTCTGGGGCTGTCGGCTGATGCACCTGACGTCAGTCACGCTGCGGCAGCCTCTCGAGCGAAGGAGTTGGGGCATTGGCGCGCTGATATCCATCCTGGACGGCCATTCGTCGGCCAGGCGGAGGGAGCGGGAAGCGGCAGCGGAGCTGGAGGAGGGCTCACTCACCAGCATCGCATTCGAGTGCGGACCAGCACCCCATGACGGCTTCCACGAACAGCCTCCTGCCGTCCCCATGGGGAATGTCCCAATCAGGCTTCCCGCGCTGACGTCAATGACTGGCGTCCACGACGGCCTCAAATGGCTGCTGCTCCGCCTGGAAGCGCCGTCCATCGAGATGATACAGGGAGATATGGATGCGAAGGTCTGGGCACTCGGCCCCTTTCTCCAACACTCGACGCGTCTGAAGTGCTACTGCGTCCCGTCGACGAGCGTCTACAAGATTGTAGTCTTCAACTGCATCCGCGTGGCCGCAGCGGGGCAGCCGGGTCCCCTGTCGCAGCTCCAAGACATCGGCAGGATGAGGCTGCCCCCGAGTGAACAGCTCGCCCCCTTGCAGGTGATTGATGCAAACACACACAGACAGACAGACAGACAGATATGTGTCCGCTGTGTCGTCAGAACATTTTGTTTAATCACGGGTGCCGGTCGCTGTCGTCACTCGACCTG